TAATCTAATGTTACTAAGGAGAAAATTTAAGTAGGAATTTTTTAAGTTACATTTTTTGGTCTGCCCCGGGCCCCAGTGCTTAGCACTGGCTGCACTGCCCGTACCTACGCCACTGGTGCCCGTTTAGGTATCATTGAAATCTGGAACCGAAGATTACGAATGGTTCTAGTGCAGAAAAGAAATCGTCCAGAGAGCATCTTATAAATAAAACTTCTCAATTTTTAATCCACTAATCAGTAATTGATTTTTGTATTATTCTCTAGATCCATATGTGAAAGTTAGTTTAATAGCCTTCCAGAAAACGATAGCAAAGAAGAAGACGAGAGTGATCAAAGAAACTCTGAACCCCTTCTTTAACAAAACTCTAGTATTCGACATACCCTTCGATCAAATTAACGTGAGTTTATGTATCTTTGAATGTTATAGCAGAAAGGATAAACTATAACGACCATTGATTTAATAATTGATTAATTCACTCATTATTATTTAGTAGATATATTAACTTACAACAATAGTAAATACACAAAGTCGATAAAGAATTAGTACATGGTACAAATTTGTAAAATTATGTGTAAAAATGGAAACTGATCATTGATGAATATTTAGAACAATATTAAAGATACAGTCAAAGCAAGTTACTGAGGGGGAAATTTAAGTAGGAATTTCTAAAGTTATATTTGTATATTTATATGAATATTGAAGATAAAGTCAAAGCATTTAGAACTATGTTGCAATTTAATTGTTATCAGGTTATTTCTTTTGGTGTCCATAAACATACAAATAAAAAATATTAGGGAATCTTATAATAATTACATACTTGACTTCGCCTCCCTCTGATTTGACTACTTAAAAAAATATGTTTAAATAACTACATTTTAGGGTGTTTCATTAAATCTATTTAACGTACCATCAATTCTTAATACCGTTTCAAGCTTTATGTTAATAAAATATTGTGCTACAAATTAGTACAGCAACCAGTTATATAACTGGTTACTATGAGTATACAAATATAATTCCTACATCATGCATAATCCCTTCACCCCTATTCTTATCCCGTGTGGCCCAAATGTATGTACAGAATGTATGTTTACGTAACTGTTTACCCCAGCCCTTAGGCCTCGGCTCAATGAATCCGGTGGTGTAATTTCTGTTTAAAAGTTTACATCTCTCCTCTGTAGGAGGTTACCATGCTGATTACAGTGATGGAGTGGAATAAACTGAGGAACAAACCCATTGGTGAGGTGGTCTTGAGTCATGACGTCACTGGAAGTGGACGGGAGCACTGGAAAGACATGTTTGCGCACCCACAGAAGCCGGTGGTAATGTGGCACCAGTTGTCGGCGCCAGACTTAAGCAAATCGTGACAAAACCAAAGCATTGTTGTTATCAAATTTAGTTTTAAAAAGGTGGAAATAGAAAAGGGGTGGGGTGTTGAAATTCTGAAATAAGCAGGACAATGATTAGATAATGTAATGGCCTCTGTAGGCCTATAGACAACGTCACGGAACAGGTATGTATGGGTGGGGGTGGGGTTGAGAGGAGAGAGGTCGTAACACCACCAATACTCATGCATATTAATGTAACAATATTGTATTCTGTGTATATGTGTACATATTCCTTTACCGTAGTGACTTAAGATTTAAGAGATTTGTTCTTTTTATTTTTCGTTTTATCTATTCATTTATTTTTTATTTTTATATTTTTTAACAGTAATTCGATTTACAATCAGAGTTGTTTAGAGTACGAGCTTTGTCCCATGATTTACTCCCAGTAAATAAAGCATATTATTAATTATGTTGTATTATTGTTTATATTTATTATACACTTCAATGAGAAATGGTGTCACTGCATCATAGGAAACTTATCGATTGACTTTCTAAAGTATACCTAGCTTGACACATTGTTAAATGCATTAGAATGTTTTCCACTGTAGAGTGTATACTGAATACAATAAAACAAATAGCTACTTACGTGTCTGGTGTAGGGGTTGCTCCAAGCAAACTCAAAAGCTGCCAATCTTGTTAATATTCTATTCATGTTTTTATAAAGCGTACGTTAGCTTGTTCGCCAGAGGAAACTCCTTTCGTAGTTTCATCTGCGAATGGCTATTGAAGACATTTAGTAAACAAATCATGTAAGTGTAATCTGGTAATAATGTTTAGCAGATTTGCGGTATTCTGTTACTATGATCCAAAGTTCAACAACTATTAAGTAATAACACTTTACCAAATGCAATTGATATAAGCCATTTTAGTGTTTGTTTGTGCCCTATGACATTCGATATAATCCTGCGTGGATAAAACTATGAGAGGGGTTACTTGGTTATCTCAAGCAATGTACGCTGATTCTGATTGGTGGAATATATATCTACTG